TGCCCCTAACCTGTTCAGCTTTGCACCTAGGTGTCCGTCGCTGCTTAAAGTAATGTCATTAAGCATAAATTCATTAAGTCAATGTCATAAAGTCATTCAAATAAATGTTAAAGACAAAAGTTTCACCTCACAAAACATTTACTAATTTGGTCGTGAATGTAAAGAAATGGTTGAATATTACTAAACCGAGACTGAATAACACATTCGCTAAACGAACGTAAACCACTTGCAAGTATGCAATCTAAAGTCATGAAGTGTTCTTGTAGCGCTAGACACGGTAAAGTGCACTCAAAACACACACGCACTTCAAAGATTCATTAATGTTGCAGCCCTCATGCCTTTTGAGGGTAACGTGGGGCTGGTCAAGAGACGTATGCATCCCTCGACATCCAAGTTATAAGATGTGTCATCCCTTACCGAGTACTTCTATCCCTTCTTGATATTTGTTCTCCTAAACTCATTGTGTTATTTTAAAATTTGAAGTGAATTTGTTTACAAGACCAATGGAACAAACACAAATATGATAGATTGGGGTTACCGAATAGTTTATGTCAAAAGAACAATTTAAATACAAACCATAAGCCAAGGTATTAAAGCTATGATATCCTACTGTAGTAAGGATGGATAAACGGCATCTTCATATAATTATTGTAATCATTACTTGGGTAGTTAACTAATTTTACCTTACGACCGTTATTTAAAGTAGCTATTACAATACAGTTCTTAGAATTGAAAAGTATCTCATAACAGCATTGTTTACTTTCATAACAGCATAGTTTTACTCATAACAACACGGGTAACGGACCAATAAGGTTCAAGAATTGAGAGAGGAGAAGCAAAATTGTGACTTAATGATTCGAAATTCAACTAATCAGCTGTTCAGGCCAATTTAATTGTTGATTGGTGCAATTAGTGTTTGATACAATGTTTCGTTGCATCACTGTCAGTGACAATGAGAGGTTACAAACAAAAACATAACCTCTTTTGAAGTTATGAGTAGTGATTTTTAGTAATTAAAACACCGTCGTAGGTAAAGTAGTGTACGCAACTCGCGTAAATAGTGTTAACGACACGAGTAGAAAATTTAAGGTACGAGCCTTTTCGCAATCGTTGCGTAAACTACTATTACATAAATACTGTTTGTAATATTAATACTGTTGCTGTTTGTAAAAATCGTCGTGCGAACCTTATCATCTTTCAATACCCTCAATTTAGATTAGTAGCTTATTATGTAAAGCTAGAAAAATTACATTAATTAAACTGCGTATTATAACTTGGTAATGTATGTTTGGTTTAAATTGGGAAAATTACACCTGTGACATTTCATCGAGATAAGAAAGATATTTAAAGGGAATCTTTATGAAAATAGTGACTTAATTTACAAGATACTTCGTCTTAAGCTTGATTTTCATAAAAATGCTAATTTAACGGAAGCTATTCGTCCAGTCCATCCCTTTATTAAATTTAGCACTACATTACTGTCAAAACCGTTCGTCTTCTTTCACTGCCAACGGATATTGATTATTAAAATTAAGGTAAATCTGAACTTTATTGTTCACAATTTACTGGTATTTCATTACGTTGCTGGTAGTTTTATAAGTAAATATTAAATGAAGGCAAAGTGGAGGTTTCCTGATATTTATTTTAAACTCTTAAACTATTTTAATTCCTCCTTTGTCCTTTTTTATAATACGATTACTTTAAGTAAACGCTATACGGCAAAACACTCTGTAAAAAATAGGTTTTTTTCTGGTAGCCTACATTCTGTTTCAAGATTACTGAGTCCATGCAAAGTTGAAAAGGAAAGATAATGAACAAGCATTAAAATCATCCATTGTAAAAATATATTTTTTATTCCAGTTTGATCGCAATGGGGGGTTTCATTTATTTATTTAGCAATATTACAACTGACAAACAGTAAAAATGCAATGTATTGCATGAAAGTAACGAAGGTCAAAGGAAGTGTTGCTAGCCTAGTGGTAAGCGTCTCGGACTTCGGTGCGGGAGGGACGGGCTCAATTCCCGGCACATCCAGTTAACATATTCTCTCATGATCTCTCTTGTAAAATGCCACTAGCACAGGAATAAAAGGTACGAATGAGCTCCAGGTGTGGATGAAGCTATAAATTACAACGAGAATGATGTAGCATCAAACCTGTATGATGGAAAAGTTTCGATCCAGCCCAAAACTTTTCCCTCGAGAAGACGTCGGCCTAGCTTACACTGAGCCAGACATCAAAGTTGTACGTTTCTTATTTGCAAATAAATCGTGACGGATGTAGGTGAAGTATAAATTATTTGTTAAAACTTCAAAACTTTCCGAATGATACGATGTATAATATTGATTAAAGAGATCACAAGAGGCGACGCGACATCAATACAAAACTACTCGAGCATGTATTGTTTTGAATAGTTTAGAAACTTTTTTGGATCCAATAGTAGTCTAAATGTTCTACGCGGACTAGTAAAATAAAACAAATTATGAAACCCTTTAATAAAAACTCTCAAATCAAAACTTTCCTAAAACCATTGAAAATTGGATACAGAGTCAAAGCTAAAACGTACGTTTGTAAATTTGTACGTACGTTTAGTTTCTTATGGTAATATTGTTGTGTAAACTTTTATTTGTTGTTGTGTTGTGTGTTTATTTATTGTTGTGTATTGTGTAAAAGTTTATTTGTTCTTGGTCTTAATTTTAGTGAATTTCCCTATAGGGAAGTAGCTATTACCGTAGGTCTCATGGTAAGACCTAAGCCCGGGACCGATTTACTTTTTCATTTTGATGTCCCCAGAGGCCAAAAACACCATTCGTTCAAATTTTTATATATCTATATATAGATATATATATTGTTTAGTATTCTATGGTTTATTTTATTTTAGTCTGTCTCCAACACATGTTTTTGGGTTTTTCAATTTTACTACATGTGATTAATGTTGTTCAAAATGGTCAAGAAATACATCACAGTTTTTTCCTAATTCATTTTGCATTTATTTGTTGGTGATTTTCTCTATAGATTATGTAATTGTATTTTAAAGTTATATAAAGGACTTTCTCATTCTTCGACAATATTAACCTCAAGACTAAATTCAAGATTGGTAAGATATAATTAATTATTCATGGTAATCTCTATTCAGTTCCATTACATCAAGCCTAAAACTATTCTCTCCACTTTAAATTCCCTAATAATTTTATTGGTCCTTCGAACATCGGATGAAAGAATCAAGAATATGGATATTCAAAATTACTAATATTGTACATTATTATTTGTTATTTCATCAAGATATTTAAAATTCAATCTTAAAAATCTACTAATGTACTCTGAAAAATTGGAATGTTTGATTCTGTTGCCTTAGTAACAATATTACTACCCCTTTCTATCTTTGCCTTTACAACCACATTTTTCCAATCAGCTCATTAGTACATTCCTTTAATATACAAAATGAAGTATCAAACCTTTGTCAGATTTTCTAACCTAATCAAAGTTCGTCTCAATAATATTCTTTCATTTATTGACACTATATCAGAAAATGATCATGTTGAATTAGTTGATCAACAAAAAGTTAATTCCTATAAAAGTGAAGTCAATGAAAAGCGTTGTGAATTTAATGAACACATTAGAAAATTACTGGACGTGCCGAATCTGCCTGGTGACTATGATGAACAAGATCTAATTGATCGACAGGAGGAAATAAATGAACTTTGTATCAGCATAGAAAGTAAAATAAATTCTTATCTTTTGGAAAGTAAAGGCAATGATGATAATCAATCTATTACCTCTCATCTCAATGAACGGGAACACTCTAACATGTCTGTGGTGCGCTTACCGAAAATAGAATTAAAAAACTTTAATGGTGACTCTCAAACTTGGATAGCCTTCATCAACCTCTTTGATACCACAATTCATTCAAATTCATCTCTCTCGAATGTGGCTAAATTTCAATATCTACTTAGTACTTTATCTGGTGAAGCACTCAATCTGGTCAAATCCCTACCCATCTCTGAAGCAAACTACACCATCGCGTACAACATGTTGCGAGATCGTTACCATTCAGTGCGAAGACTTTCATCTCTCCACATCAATAAAATCATTGATTTGTCTAGTGTTAGTTTTTCCTCTACTAAGGATCTCAGAAACTTGCTAAACTCTTTTAATGAAAATTCCCAAGCTCTAACAGCATTAGGCTGTGATGTAGTGGAAAACAACCCTCTCTTAGCATCAATGCTTTTACGAAAACTAGACTCAAAATTGTTAAATAAATATGAATCTTCAAGAAATGACTCTGAATCTCTTCCCTCAGTCAATGAGGTAATAACTTTTCTGTCAAATCATTGTGCACATGCTGAAGATGTGTCCATGCACTCACCCAATAGTAGTAAATGGGTCAAACCTCACTCAAATATCCCACCTTTGTCCAACTTCAACCGCAAAAATGAAATGACTCATCACAGACCATTTACCCTAGCATCAACACAAAGCTCCACTGATTTCCCTTGCTTCGTTTGCTCTAAACCTGGACACAAAGTATATTCCTGTACTTTATTCAAAGAAAAATCTCCTCAAGAACGGCATGAACTAATCAAATCCAAGCAACGTTGTTTCTCTTGTCTTGGAAATCACAAAGTCAGTATCTGCAAATCGAAAAACTCTTGTTTTAAATGTCATAAAAATCACAACACCCTGTTACATTTAGAACCATCGAAAGACCTCACATCAAGAAATGCTGTATCATGTTCATCTTCATCTCAAAGTCAAAATGAATTTGCTGGAGTATCAACAAATTTTTCTCGACCTCAAAAGAACACCACTATTTTATTAGCAACTGTATTGGTAAAGTTGGTGTCTAGGCAAGGTGTTGCTCATGTCTTCAGAGCTCTAATCGACTCGTGCAGTCAATGTGATTTCATAACAGAAAGAGCAGCCCAACTGTTGGGAATTAAACGTCAAAAGTCAACTCTTCGTGTTAATGGAATCAATCAGTCTCTTACATCCCCAAAGGGAATGGGCTATGTGGACATCAAAACACTAAGTGGGAACAAAGTTTCAGAAAATCATCCAATGTTGATTTTGGATAAGATTACCTCGGACATGCCAAGATCTCCTCTTGATCCAAATCTATTGGAACTAGTGAAACCGTATACCCTAGCTGACCCTACTTTCCACCGCCCTGGGCCTGTTGACGTTTTACTAGGTGGGGGTTTATTCCCATTCATTTTCACCGGAGAGAAACAACAACTTGGACCGAACCTACCATTTGTCATGAACACAGTGTTTGGTTACACTCTCATGGGACATTCTCCATGTGAGAGTAATTCTAAATATAACAAAGATTCTTCTCATCTCACAACTATGTTAAATGTCTCTGATTTTGATCTTCATTCCTCTTTACAACGGTATTGGCAGCATGAAGAACCTCCCAGACAGACCGAATACAAACTTTCAAATAAAAAACATTTAGTGAAAACACAATCTAGAGAACCCTCTGGCAAATACTGCGTTAGGCTGCCATTCAAACCTAATCACCATCATCTCGGCAACTCTAGTAACAACACCAAAACAAGATTATTTATACCAGAAGAGAAATTTAAAACTCAACCTCATTACAAAGAAGCATTCCAGAAACCTCGTCTTGTAACTCATCTTTCAGAAGATCCATCAGACCTATCTACACAAACCCATGGATACTTTCTGCATAGTACACCTCATACGATGAATAAACTCAAAAGATGGCATCGATGGAGACTACCTTCATCTTGTTGTGATTCAAGACATCCTTACACCTCCAATGTGTTGGCCACTGGCTAGAATTGTTGAAACACACCCTGGTTCAGATAACATTACAAGAGTTGTGACTGTGCGTACGAAGAATGGACTCCTCACTAGACCGGCAATCAAGGTTTTCCCACTGCACTTGAAGACTAAATTTTATTACAGTTCCGCCCCTTTTGTTGCTTTAACTTTCTCTGTTTTAATTGCTGTTTCTGTACTCATTTGTTAAATTAATTCATTGAACCTGCGGTTCAAGGGGCCCGGCATGTTTAGTATTCTATGGTTTATTTTATTTTAGTCTGTCTCCAACACATGTTTTTGGGTTTTTCAATTTTACTACATGTGATTAATGTTGTTCAAAATGGTCAAGAAATACATCACAGTTTTTTCCTAATTCATTTTGCATTTATTTGTTGGTGATTTTCTCTATAGATTATGTAATTGTATTTTAAAGTTATATAAAGGACTTTCTCATTCTTCGACAATATTAACCTCAAGACTAAATTCAAGATTGGTAAGATATAATTAATTATTCATGGTAATCTCTATTCAGTTCCATTACATCAAGCCTAAAACTATTCTCTCCACTTTAAATTCCCTAATAATTTCATATATATATATATATATATATATATGTGTGTGTGTGTGTGTGTGTGTGTGTCCATCCGCACGATAACTTGAGTAATTTTTGTCCGATTTTGATGAAATTTGGTTTGAAGGTGTAAGGCGGGATAAAGCCACATGAATACAGAACGGAATGAAGAAACTAGAACGGAGAACTGGCAACAGCGCACGCGAGAAGTAGGGGGTGTCGAACACACCGCTCAAGCGCTACAACGCATTAGTACCGATTAGTGGCAAGGTGCCACAATTAAAAACTGGAATGTTAGATGTTAAAATGGAGTGTTCATTAAAAATATCGATGCACACATGTTTCTACCACCTTCCTTCATCCACTGGTGGCCGCAGTTTGAAAGATGCCACAATTAGGTGTTTGCGAGTATTCGGTAAAACCCCGTATGTGTGTGTGTGTGTCCGTCAGCACGATAACTCGAGCAAAAATGATCCGATTTTGATGAAATTTGGTACAAACGTGTAAACGTACGTTTATTCGAACGAGTTCGCGATCCAGCACGATCGGACTATGGGAACCTGTTTAGGGGGGGTTATATGGGGTAAAAATAGGGTTTTCCCATTTTTGACCCTAAAAACACAAAACTTCACAATTTCTTTTTAAACCATTTTGTAGAGCTTAAAAAACAAATAATTTAGTATATTGAAGCGTTATTATGCGCCTAATTGTTAGGGAGAAAATTCAAAAAAATCGTAATTTTAAAATTCCCATGTTATTCTTATGGAGAATAAGTCAACTGTTGTAGTTTGCTTGTTTATGAACATATTATGATCAAATTTCGAAAATACATTAATTTCTTACTAAACCACAGTACCTTTTAATATTTTACATTAAAAAAAACTTGTTTACCCTCCCTGTTGCAGCAAACCTAAGTACTCATTAAACTAATTCTGTTTAAATAGGGAATAAATGTGATATTTTTAAGGAGACATTTTATTTAAAATCCAATCAGGCAGATGGAAATTCGCTAAGTCTGCAGGTTTGCTGCGGCGGGAGTATTTGTTATATACGAGATAATTTAATGGTGTTCCTGAGTGAAAAAGAACTGCTGAGCAAGGTGGGAAGATTTGTCTTACCTCTTTAAACTTTCCTAATCCATTTTAGCTTAATAGGAAATTAAACTACTTATTTATTAAACAAAAGTGGCCATACTGGAAGAAGTGAATAGGCCATGTATAATTTAATAAAATTGGTGGTCCCCAAACGAAGGAACAACTGATGAAAGTTTCAAGTGACACCAATGTCAACTAGTTTTGACACGGTCCCTACCAGCCAACTCAGTATTGCAGGTATTGTGACAGTCGGTATTTAATGTGTTCAATATTAGCAACATAGACTATAATAATAATCTCAAATACACGGACAAATACAGTGTACTGGGATATACTGACGTTTCTAGTTAAATAAACAAAAGCATATTTTTCATAATTTGTGATTTACTAACTTTAAAATCAAGAAATGTATTGTACGAGTTTAGGTCACCCTAAACTAGCCTAAACCCTGTTTATCTAAATCTCTTGGTTATACCTCGCTGATCGGTATTGCAAAGAATTGTTTCATATTCAATTTATTTTTTTGCAGTAAATTGTAACAGCTATTTATTTAATTTAGACAACTCATATTTGTACCAGTTAGAATATATTCACGAGTGCCGTTATTTAAAAATCACCTGACCAGTTTCATCGTATCTCTGTTAAGAGTTTATTTGTAACGTTTTTTCAATAACCAAAGACAAGTTTATTGACATTTTTTTTTTTTTAATTTGGGATGTGATAAATTAGTTACAACAAAGCAGTTTAAGAGTCCTTGAAGGCTATCGGCCATAATGGATGATTTCAAACAGCTGCTGAAGAGTTAATTATCATCCAGAAATAGTTTTTCAAACACCAAAAATATTATAATTTAAATATCTTGTATACTGTGAGATTAAAAATGTTCTTTGTATTTTTTTATTGTTTTATGAGTTAAAACGTCTGGGCTCTTAGGACTCTTTATGCAATACACCATGTTATCGTTCAATACAATTCCATTTCCGCAAAATATAATGTTGCCAGGTTTAAAAGTTTCTCCTTTACGCCAATGAAATCTTGGATGAAGTAAGGCAAACTTTGAAACAAATGGACAGACATGAGTATATGAAGATCAATGATGTAGAAAATACTACCGAGTATAAAACTTCAGCTTCAGTTTCAATTTCATTGAAATCCTTTTACGATGATTAAGTCACGTAGTGCTAGTAGAATAGTCTCGACTGGGAAATAAAAAGGAAATACTTACAGTATTTTTTTTATTTGCCATTCACTTTAAAATTTAGTAATAAAGGAACATGCAAGAACATTTGAAACTGTTTTTATAAACATATAAACTTGGATAAATTGTTTTTGTATAGTCAGCTCTTTTTTAAGAGAAAAATATTTTGTTTCTTCTGTTCAAAATTCCGTAGTTTACTTAATTTCAACAAAAAGCTGTATTTGTTTGGGTAATAGTTATGAAAATCCATCGTTTCATATCTTATTTGTTCATAAGAAGTTTCATAACCATATATTATCTCAAATTAAAACATAAAATACTTACTGACGAACTTGCTAATTAACAATAGACCGTGGTTGTTTACTTTTATTACATCGTCTAACACAACGAATAATAAGGAAAGAAATGCTGAAAATGTTTCCAAGACAAGAAGGACTATTTCAAAAGGCTGATCCTGCAAAAGATAACAAGCTTCCAAGACATCAAAACTCCTCTGACAATTATGTGTTCATTAGTGAGATGTTTTCCTTGGATATTATTGTATAGAAGCTTATTATAAATTAATTGATGTAGTCTAAGAGTGAATTCTTTTAAAAGTTTGTTGGTTCTATATGATGTATTTCAAGATGCTTGTCAGGTGATGTATAGGCTACGCCTAACGAACCGCTTAACGGCATGTTGGCAATTGCCAAACTTATTCTAGAAACTGACTAGTGGCTTTGCCAAGGAGCCATGAAATTTGATAAGAAAAATTATCCTTAGGTGAAATTGGGGGGGGGGGGTACAAATCTGCAACACAGTCAAATTTGTATTATTTTTTTCAGAAAAATCAATTACTTACAGACATTACAATCAAGCTTATAATAAAACGTTTAATATGAACTACTTGAGACAAGCAAGCCGTAGTGTGGTGTGTGGTGTTACATATATTCTACAGTAAAATGACAGCGCAGAGCGAACTTGAAAAAACATTTAAATTTGTGTGTGCAAAGTATGTTAATTCCTGTTTTTCAATATTTTAATTATACTTATTTATTGCTTAATACATATACACAAAATAAATACTATAATTATATGTAGTGTGCCCAATAGTTTTGCCCAAATGAATCCTAGCCCATTATTTGACTGATGTAGACAAAATGGCGGTGTCCATGGTAAACCACGTGATTTAACCTCAGACCACGGTTATAACCTCAAATCTGTGAACACAGTCGTTGAACGCATTCGGTCACTGCAATGTACAGAAACACAGAGTCTATGCGAGTTTAAATTATGAGTTTTCTAATATTTATACAGTTGAGAAAATGGTTGGATTGTTTTCAATATCTAACTTGAGTAGTATGCCTTATTACTTATAATTTATGAACAATCGTTGTCTTGCTAAGATTGCACTAAATAAAAGCATTTTGCATTATGTTCCAGATTAATGTGACCACGACCGTTCCAAGTCATGTGTTATCTATATTATTGTTTTAAATTTTTATACATTTTTTAATATTCTATTACGCTGCATGCTTGTTAACTGATTTAGAAGTTTATGACGGGAATTAGTATTAACTGTCGTATTCATTTTGAGGTGCACGTTAAACATATGCTTAATATTGCTATTATTTAACAACACTTTTTACCTTCTATGGGAATTTGTCTGGAAAACATGAGTGAACCTGACTTCAATGTAACCTTGACTTCAAATCTTACACGCAGACATTGAATTTATGAAACTGTTATTATTTAAATTACTGTTTAACGATAAAGCATAGTGATTTTTAAATAAGTGTACAACATAGACTACAAATTTAACCTAACGAACATAAAGTTAAAATTTCTGTCGAAATATGTTTTTTTTATAAACAAGGAAAAGCAGCCAAACCTGTATAACCTGTATCGTTTAGTGTTATAAATTAATTGCAGTGAAAATCAATCCTATATCCTGTGTAATATGACACATCGTCACATATTTTGTTGTGTTTTTATTTAATTTCTGCTATAGATATTTTATTTCAATATTCTTTAAAAATAACTATCTAGCTATAACCATTTTTAGTGCATTTAGTTTTAGTAAAATTGACTAAATCGTTTACCTTTAAATCTTCCTTTATATTTGTTTAAACTACGAATCTGCAAAACATTCACAATATATTATCTCACAATG